AAATATATTATTCCAGGAAAATTACTTTCAAAATGAGTGATGCCTTATTGTCAAATCCAATATTCAGTTATTCATTTTCTTACGAAATTCTATAACCTTATGAATTGTTGACTGATTGATCAATTGATTGAGTGATTATTTTTTATTTTGGTGCTCCTGTATTTTTGCTAACTTCCTTTCTAATTTCTTCCTGTGACTCTGTTCCTTATACCTGTTAAATGTTAGAGTTGCTCAGGCTTCTTTTCTCATCCCTTTTATCATTCTATATACTTCCTTTAGATGACGTCACCTAGGTGTATGCCTTCTATCACTACCTGAGTTATCAATGACTCTAAATTATAAATCTCCATCCCTGACTCATCTCTTGGATTGTAGATGCACATGTCTCCTGAAATCACTAGTTAGTGCTCTGTCAATGTTCCCAATGGAGTCACTGTCTAACAAACGATCCCTCTCCCCTGATTCCTTCACACCCTCCAGTGTGCTCTGACCCAGTAAGTGACTCATCTCTCTCTAGCTTTTTTTAAAAAGCTATTCTCTTGGCTAAAATTAACAAGTCAGGAAATGACAGATGTTGGTGAGGATGTGGAGAAAGGGAAACTCTCCTACACTCTTGGTGGGAATTTAAGCTGGTACAGCCACTCTGGAAAACAGTATGGAGGTTCCTCAAAAAGTTGGAAATAGAGCTACCTTATGGCCCAGCAATTGCACCGCTGGGTATTTACCCCAAAGATACAAAAATAATGATCTGAATAGGCATGTGCACACCAATGTTTATATCAGCAATGTCCACAACAACCAAACTATGGAAAAAGCCTAGATCTCCATCAACAAATGAATGGATAAAGAAGATGTGAAATATTATGCAGCCATAAAAAATGAAATCTTGCATTTGGAACAATGTGGATGGGACTAGAGAGTATTATGCTAAGTGAAATAAGTCAATCAGAGAAAACTAATTATCGTATGATATCAGTGATACAAGGAATTTGAGAAATAAGACAGAGGATCATAAGGGAAGGGAAGGAAAATGAAACAAGATGAAAGTAGAGAGGGAGGCAAACCATAAGAGACTCTCCATCTCAGGAAACAAACTAAAGGTTGCAGAAGTGGAGGAGGGTGGGATGGACGGGGTGGCAGGGTGATGGATGGGGAGAGTATGTGCTATGGTGAGTGCTGTGAATTGTTTAAGACTGATGAATCACAGACCTGTACCCCTGAAACAGAAAAATACATTATATGTTAGTTTTAAAAAAACGGGGGAAAAGAAAAGCTATTCTGTAACTTATGTGCTCAAACTTTATGTTGAACTCCCCCAACATTTAGCGCTTTCTCAGAAAAGCAGAACCAAGCTGTGTTTCAGGTCCATGTTGGAGATTGGAGACACATGGAGGACGCAGAGTTCTCTCTGATAAAACACACAAGTGCTCCAAACTTCCAATGACTTGGCCTCTGTGTGGAGGCTGCCAAAATCAACTTGGCAGCCCTTCTGACTGAATGACCCTAGAGGGGGTTCAGGGGAGTCAACTAACAATAATTCTTGCAGTACCAAGAGATGATTACTTTCAAGGCAAATGGGAGGACATTCTTGGGTTCATAGTTGCATTTTACTGTAGTATCTAGATGTATTTAACTGGAAGTGTATAGGTCGCTTGAACACCATAGAAACAGAAAGTTTGACAAAGAAGGGAAGGGAGAATCAACCTGCCATTCTCTAGGAAATCTGCCTACACAGCTGGCACCATGGGGATTTCTTGTGTGCATTTTTGAATGTGTTCCAAGGCTTCAAAATGGGATTTCCGGAATCTAAAATGCCGGGTGCCTATAAACCATTTTGTTTGTCAGAATTTAACGGCCTCCCTCTGTGTGAAGGCAAGGTAAAGGGAAAGAGCTCCTCTGAACTTGATAGCTCATTCTGAGTTGGCTCCCTTTATTATGGCCTTGCCCTTTCTGAAACACCTGCCCTGACAACTCTATAGCCCCTAACATGCAGAAGAAATGCTACAGATTTATAATATGCCTTCCTTCCATATAGCTCCGGGGACTAGAAGGCAAGCAGCAGGTGAATAGAATAAATGAATTTTCTAGGATCCCAGACTTGGTTGTTTGTTCTCAAATATAGAAATAACTTTTTTTTTTTTTTTTTTTTTTTTTTTTAAATGGCTCTTTCTCTGCATTACAAAAGTCCCAATTCCTGCCTGGATCTGCTGTGGATCATTTAATGTTCTCTATTGAAGCCCACACTGTGTTAAATACCATACCTAAGCAGAACTAAAAGTTTGTTTTTTATTCCTTTGAATTAAAATCCAGATTTATAAATTATTTACTGATCAAGGATGATATTTACAAAGTTTAATGAGACATTTTGTTATGCAAATAGTAGTCTCCTATTAAATTGATTCATTATCTGATATTTAAAAGATTTCACTATGATTTGCCTTACACCAGATTCTATTATTCTCCATCAGCCCCAAAATAAAAGCTAAAAACAAGACCATACAAAAGACATATTAATACAGTCAAGATAGAATCTCGCAGAATGCTTCCACCGACGCCACTGACTACTCCACAGGTAGGCCATGCTGGGAATTTCTGGGGAATTTTTAAGTATGGAAGTCCTGTCTGCCTATTTAGGATGACACAAACATTGTCAAGCCCAACTATCCCATGCATTCAACATGTCGCTTAATTTTCCATTTTGATAAAAGTATGGTTCTCCTACCATTGGTGTTTCACTATTGTGTTCAGACTGAGGCTGAGGGTTTAAATTCCACTGCCTTCTTTTTTCAAGAGTTGTTTTATTATAGACTTTTCTTCTATTACCACTCCTAAACACTTGTCTGTAAGTATTTTATCCACCCCTTCAGCTATACTCCTCTCTTGCTGGGGTGGGGAGAGAAAAACCCCAAAATATGATATTTAATTAGTTCTGCATTCCTTCCAGTGTTATTCCTAACTTAAAATACCATAAAAAGTAATTTATTGTCAGAATGCATTTTTATTGAATTTCCTCCTGTGCTTAACTTCAGTGGCAATGTGTAGGCTCAGAGTCTTGCTTCAATGTCTACTCACTGGCACACATTATTCGTATCGCATTTCAGGAAACCATCAGTGGAGCTCTCTTGCTTCCTTCGATTAGAGAATCAAATCTGTGAGCCAGATCTTAAGTTCTCGGGCTATACAAATAGATGTGTGCATTCCTGGTCAGTGAAATGTACATTTCTTGTATCAGATGCTCTCCTCATTCCATTCTTTCACTTTGGTTTTAAAGAAGTGCAGGAAATTGTGTTTCTAGAGGATAACCTTCATAGGGCTTTGATGATATGTTGCTTTGAAATAAAGACCTCTATAGACTGTTCATAAACATCTGATTCTCCATAATTACTACCAGAGAAGGGAAAACAAGATTCTGTTTATATAGTAGATGAAATAAATATTAAGTGCTTCGAAGGTTGATATCAAATTGTTTACAATTCATCAACCAGAACATTCACAGATTATGTCAAGAGATCAATTCTGCTATTAAATAACACATTGAATCATATTTAAATGCATGTTATAAATCTCTCAAAATAATCTTCTACTAGATTAGGAATAATACCACTAACTAATTGAAACCTAATAGGAGGAGTCTTTCTGAGGCTCACTTATGTCTGAATTGTACTAGTCAGCCCTTCTCTCTTTTTTTTTAATATAGTTAGCAGTGAATATAAAAAGCAAAGCATCTACCTCTTGTCAAAGACTATTATAATCCTTTCTATTCTGATTATTTAAGAATAAGAGTATACAGTATATTGAAACAGGTGTTTTGATTATCTAACATTATAAATGTTTAATTTAATTAATGGGATATTTCAGTAAACTCCTACTCTTGTGATTCAGGAATCTGAGAAAGTTCAAATATACTACAATATAGTATAAAGCACAATTATGAAAGTAAGTAAAACCAGGAATATATACCTGATTTCATTAAGCAAATATGCCAAGTATATGCTATGACTTATGAAATAAGAGGAATCTGAAGGAACCAAAAGCCAGGGTTCTTTCTGACCTCTAGAAATCAAAATAAATGCACACACACACACACACACACACTATCTATCTATCTATATACACATACACACACTATATATATGCAGAATGCAGTATAATATAATGTATAATATATGTATGTCATACATATGTTATAATATTACAAAGCGAGATATTATGGATACCACACTTCAAAGAAGTTAAGAGAGCTAGTATGCAGTCACTCAAGGAAGTCTTCTCTGACAGTGGCCGTGAAGGACCATAGCATTTGGTCAGGCAGAGAGAAAAGGAAAAACAACCTCCAACTGGAGGAATTTATACA